AAATAAATAAATAAAGTCCATTTTTAAAAAAAGATTACCTCAGGCATGATTCTATTTATATAACTTTATTGACATGGCAAAATGTAGCAATAGGAAACAGATTAGTGGCTGTTTAAGGAAAATGTGGGAGCAGGAGGAAGGTAGGTGTGATTATAAAAGGAGAGCACGGGAGATCCTTACGGTATCAGACCTGTTCAGTATCTTGACTGTGGTGGTGGATACCTGAACCTCAAAGATGATAAAACTGCATAGAACATAATATACACACATGCATACAATATGCACACATACACACATGCGTGAAAGTACGAGTAAAACTGGGGAAATAAGAATAAAATTTGTTGGATTGCATCCGTGTCAATATCCTGGTTGTTTTCACACAACAGTTGTTACCACTGGGGGAAATCAAGCAAAGGGTACAAGAGATCACTCTGTATTATATATTACAGTGGTATGTGAATTGTAATTATTTCCATTTTAAAACTGAACTTCCTTTCCAGCAGGTTTTAATGATGTCCTAGAAACTTGCCACAGCCTTCTTAATTTTGCCATGTATAGCCAAGGTTCACTCTTCAGCTACGATCATCAGCAAACGAACATGACATGCTTCCTCTCTTTAAGAACTGAAAGCTAGTCTAGCCTTAGAAATTCCCCAGTGTGCTGGCGCTGGGGGCTTGTCTCACCCGGCCTGTGAGGTTGTGTAGCCCTACCTTCCAGAGATTAAAGGAACCTCAGTCCACGGAGTCAGGCCCCCACAGTGTTTAGTAGCTCACAGGCTTTGTCGATGTCACTGAAACATCTGTGAAAACGATCTGCTCAGTTGGGTTTAAACAGCAACTTACTGGCCCGGGGGGAAAGAAATTTATGCCACGGAAAATTATAAAGATGCAGCCAGGCACCAACAAAAATATTATGGCAGAAGGCAGGGGGCAATGAGAATTGGAAAGACCTGCAAAGAGAATTTCTTCCTCTTCAGCAACCATCAGGGTATACTTTGACATTCTCTCCAAAATAAAGAGAATCAAACTAGATGCCTGTAAGCTTATCACTGCTCAAAACTTAATTTCATTTGAACCATGAAATCGTATCTACTGTGTAAAGTGTAAAATGTAAAGATTTTGTTGGGTTCTAACTGATACCATCTGATAAGCAATATCAGATTTTGATACCAAGAGAAGGGAAATGTTAAATATTAAACAAAGAAACGTCAGAGTCAGAGTATTAAAAGACCACATACTGAGCAAGGGAGGAAAGCAGACTGGGAGACCGGTTTACTGTTTGCTTTTAATTTTTTTTTCTTTTTTGCCCTCCCTTTTTCTTCCACTTATCCTCTACCTTTTCTTCTCCTTATTGTTTGTTTTGTTTCATTTTTTAAGATTCTGTGCTCAAACTGATCTCCCAGTTTCTATCTAAGTAGTTCATTTCTGGGCTTCTGACATGTCTAAATTTTTCTGACAGGCTTGGGAAAAGGAGTGGAGGAGGAAATACAGAAATACATCTGCATTCAGGACTGAGAAGCAAGCGCCTCAGGAAAGAATGCGTCCAAAGAATGTAAATAACTTGGCCAAATGACCTTAGTCACCAACAAAGATAAAGCAAAGTGTTTATCGTAAGTCATCTATCTTGACCCATTCCCTCAATCCTAGTTAGGTTTAAATCAATATATATGTGATCTTTTCACTAAAACCTAAGGCATCTAAACCAAGGCAGTACTAGTTTGGTATCCGCATGACAAAACAAAACTCAACATGGGAGAGAGACACCCTCCCACCTCTGCAGGGACGGCGGCCGGGTGTGGCTGATGGCCCTCGTTTCACTGAAGGTCCCACATAGCATGGTAGTGCGTTAGGACATCCAAGGGCAGCATTGGCACTGGATGGTGGTGTCCAATGGCTGTGCCTACTAAAAAGCTGTGGACACCAGAAGCAGCTAGGAAAAGCCTTTACAGAGCAGCTAAAAAGACATCTTTGTAAGATCACAGGAGACAACCCTGCAGATGCCCAGAAATGTATAGAAGAGATACAAGGGGTAATAGAAGTAATGAAATGGTAGGTGGTAAAAAATCCAGGAAAAAAAAATAATAATTTACTGTAATTAATATAAGTACATTTTTACCTTTAAGTTGGTGTAGCTCAGGGAAATCCAAGTTTCCTGTACATACTGTTTGCTTTCATTTAATGAAGAAAGTACTCAATTGGAATCAGTTGACCTCTGGTCTCCTCTCAGATCTACCTGAGTAGACCCTATGTATGTCTTTTTATTCTTTATAAAACTAGTTAAATATAGCTTTCTCCAATGACAAGTTTTTTTGAAGATTTTATTTATTTATTTGAGAGAAAGAGAGCATGCACGTGTACATGAGCTGGGGTGGGGGGGCAGAGGGAGAGAGAGAAGCAGGCTCCCCACTGAGCAGGGAGCCCAACATAGGGGCTCCATCCCAGGACCCTGAGATCATGACCTGAGCCAAAGGCAGACACTTAACCAACTGAGAAACCCAGGCACCCTCCAGTGACAAGTTTTTACACCAGCATATAAATACTTGTAAATAAAAATTTCAAAATACAATTTCATGTATACAACGATTGATTGTCAGCAATGAATTAAATGCAGCATATAACATACTATCCACTGCCCAATAGATGTGATCTTTTACCTCTGAGCAAGCTACCCATAACACATACTCCAAGATATAAAATACAAGTTCTTCATGAAGGAACATCCAGGTCATACTTGCAACACCTTCCAATTTGTTCTGTGATTTTACCTAATATCTAATAAATTCCTTCTTCTTAAATGGAAAATTCCATGGCCACATTTGGTCATTATTTCCACATCTGAACTTCACTCTCTCGATAATATTCTTTAAACGTCAGTCCGTTCTTTGTTCTATTTCATGCCCTCTTGCTTTTGAACTATTATATCCTTGAAGAGTTTCCTTTCATATACCTTTTCTGTCTTCCAAACTTTAACTGCATTTGTCATGTTCACCTCTCATTTCCCTCTCAAGAATGAGAAGCAAGGGCAAAAATGAACTACTGGGACTTCATCAAGATAAAAAGCTTTTGCACAGTAAAGGAAACAGTCAACAAAACCAAAAGGCAAACGACAGAATGGGAGAAGATATTGCAAATGACATATCTAATAAAGGGCTAGTATCCAAAATAAAGATAAAGAACTTATCAAACTCAACACCCAAAAAACCAATAATCCAATCAAGAAATGGGCAGAAGACATGAACAGACATTTCTCCAAAGAAGACATCCAAATGGCCAACAGACACATGAAAAAGTGCTCAACATCGCTCAGCATCAGGGAAATCCAAATCAAAACCTCAATAAGGGGGCATCTGGGTGGCTCAGTTGGTTGGGAAAAAAAACCTCAATGAGATACCACCTCACACCAGTCAGAATGGCTAAAATTAACAAGTCAGGAAACGACACATGTTGGCGAGGATATGGAGAAAGGGGAACCCTCCTGCATCATTGATGGGAATGCAAGCTGGTGCAGCCACTCGGGGAAACAGTATGGAGGTTCCTCAAAAAGTTGAAAATAGAGCTACCCTACGACCCAGCAATTATACTACTGGGTATTTACCCCAAAGATACAAATGTAGTGATCCAAAGGGGTATGTGCACCCCGATGTTTATAGCAGCAATGTCCACAATAGCCAAAGTATGGAAAGAACCAAGATGTCCGTTGACAGATGAATGGATAAAGAAGAGGTGGTATATATATACAATGGAATATTATGCAGCCATCAAAAAAAGAACAAAATCTTGCCATTTGCAACGACATGGATGGAACTGGAGGGTATTATGCTGAACGAAATAAGTCAATCAGAGAAAGACATGTATCATATGATCTCACTGATATGAGGAATTCTTAATCTCAGGAAACAAACTGAGGGTTGCTGGAGTGGTGGGGGTGGGATGGATGGGGTGGCTGGGTGATAGACATTGGGGAGGGTATGTGCTATGGTGAGCGCTGTGAAGTGTGCAAGACTGTTGAATCACAGACCTGTACCTCTGAAACATATACATTATATGTTAAAAAAGAAAAAAAAGAAGATGGTAGGAAGGGAAAAATGAAGGGGGGGAAATTGGAGGGGCAGACGAACCATGAGAGACTGTGGACTCTGAGAAACAAACTGAGGGTTCTAGAGGGGAGGGGGTGGGGGGATGGGTTAGCCTGGTGACGGGTATTAAAGAGGGCACATATTGAACGGAGCACTGGGTGTTATACGCAAACAATGAATCATGGAACACTACATCAAAAACTAATGATGTAATGTATGGTGATTAATGTAATAAAATAAAATTAAAAAAAAAAAAAAGAATGAGCACTGACCTCATATTTTTAGTCTCCACAAGGATCTATGACCTAAAGTTCCTTTATCCTCATCGCTGTCTTTATTGATGCTTCATTACCATTCCTGTCATATAAGGTTCAGAATCATGCACAAAGCTCCAAGTACTTTGAAATGCTTTTATATGATGTGAACCTGAGTTCCATTAGCTTTCCTGAATATTAAGATGCTATTGCTCTCATTTTGTTTCATCTCACCGGTAAGTCCTGTTACTAACATACCCTTTAAAAATGTTATTCTACCATATATTTCTTTGCAAGCCTTGGCCTAATTCTTTTCTCCATTTTTCTAAAATTATTCTGTGTGGTTTCTAACATGACATACAAGTTTTGTGCAGTGGTGGTATCATGGCCAGTGAGGTTTACCTGAGGTGTGATTACTGCTAATTGAAAACTTTTCCAATATGATGTACAACAAGCTCAATGACATTTTCTTTAGTACAAAAATCAATAGAGTAATTGTGGTCTTCTTCAATTTACATGAATGTTTTATCTCACCAAATTCCACTTAATGGTCTTCTACATGCTATCTGTCACAAAAGGAAAGGAAGCTGGGTAAAAGGAGATGAATGGAAAGAGTAGTATAGAATTATTCCTGCTACTGAAAGAGGAACCCAAGAACGTATATTACTGATTGTGGACTAGTTGAGTCAGCGCTTTATGAAAAGCATATTTTGTGGATTTTTCTGGAAGTATTTACATGACTTGAAAGTATTTACAAAGCACACAATAGACAAAACTTTCAACTAAACAATAACCTAAAAACTCAGAGAGCCTGTACTTTTTTTTATCAGCTTTGGTTTTTGACATTTTGATTGACTCCATTTTGGTTTTTCTTTTATTTTACAATTCTGAGAATCGGGTAGTGAAAAAAATGCCCAAGCACAAATTGTTCAAGGTCACATACAAGATGATTATCCAACTGGAATAGTTATTCAGCCACGTTTACACTGCAGATAATCTTTTGCCTTATTACCTTAGAACACTCTGCAATTTTGCTTTCCCTGTTTCACATTCCAGGAAAAACGACAATTAGTGAACTCTGAGCTGTGCCACTTTCTTTTTCCTTCCGCACCAATTTCCCTGAAACTAACATGCTCACATGTACCACATCCACATCTTCTCTGCAGTGTCCAGAGCAGAGGAAAAAGAAATCCTTTGGTACTGTCCCAGAAAATAGAAATAGGCCACAAGTATAGGTAAAATAGGAATAAATCAGCAAGTGGTCAAAACAGTCCATCTCCCTGCTTGCTTTCTTTTATATATATTGACCTTTTTCTCTTATACTTCCCACCCCAAACTGTTGATCTAAGAAAGTTCCTCCAGAGATGTACCTCTGTTCAACGGAACCCATGTCTGCCATTCGTGGGAACTTTGTGCTAGACACTACAAGCAAGAATTAGAGGAAGGAGAGCATGTCTCACTCGTGTTTTTTCCCTCTGCATGTAGCAAAATAACTTGCCACATAATCAGTACTCAGAAATGTTGAATAAATAAAATATAATGTGAGCCTGCTATAGTCTACTTCTAGATCGTGCTTACATTTGAGATCTCCCTGCCAAATTATTATAAATGATACCAAATATAATATGATTTCTCATTTCTCGCCTCAGAGTTTACTATCATGTTTTATCATTAAGGTTTTGATCACCTGGGAGACAACGAACTCCAGAGAAACAAGAGCTGAATTATGCATGATGTTGTGGTTAAAAGAGCTGACTCTGGAGCCAGGCTGTCTGGATTCAAATTCCTGCTCCACCACTTACCAGCTGTTGATGTTAGGCAACTTAACTAAAGATTCCATGTCTCAGTTAATCAATCTGTTATAACACTACCTACTTCATCAAGTTGTGGAATTATTAAATGAGCTAATATTTGTAAACCTTTTAAAATAGTGTCTGGCACATGATAAGGATTATATGTTTGTTTTTTAAAAAGTTGTCTTCTGGGATATACCATCAGTTGGTCAACTAAGAAGAATTTACTATTTGTTATAGGAAAAAAATGGTAGGCTACATCTCTGAAAATATTCCATGCTAGATGTAGTATTTTAATTGATAAAGCCTATCAAGACCTCAGAATATAATTGATTACGTGATGATGGGTATAAGTCATAAAAACTAAACTTTTCTTTCCCATCCTCCTCTCCTTGTTCATACTCCCAAAAAATTTTTATAGTAATATTTCCTCCCAAAATCTGGAAATGTTCTTTAAAGCACATTGTTTCACCTTGCCAAATGGAGGAGACTTTGGTCTCTGGGAATACAGAGAACAAATATCCTGAAAAACCCTTCCAGGCAAAACACCAATGTGAGATGACTTGCAATAAAGAACAAAGACTCTTTAAGTAAATAGCTAAAAATACGAAAAGTAAAAGAAGTCCTCAGAGGCCACAGAATGAGGAAGAAGCAGGAGTCAGTGTGATAAACTGGTACTCAAATGACTCCTGCCTGAAGGCATGTGCTGGCTCCTGGAACCTAGAGCCTTCCAGCTTAAGGCTATACTGGATGGATCAGACAGAAACTTGCCACAAGACAGCAACACTTATTATAAAGCTAGAGCAAATATGACTGTTTAGCCATGCTTCAGGGATAGACAAATAGATCAATGGAACAGAAAAGAGTGGCCAGAAATAACACACACATATATGAATATGTGATATATGACAGAGGAATTATTACAAACAAGGGAAAAGGAGGTGTTATTACAAATTGTAAATAGATGATCTTCGTTTTTATTTTTTTAAAAGACTTATTTATTTTAGAGAGAGAAAGCACATGAGGTGGGGGAGGGGTAGAGGGAGAGGGAGAGAACCTCATGCAGACTCCCCGCTGAGCACGGAGCCCAATGTGGGGCTCAATCTCATGACCCTGAGATCATGACCTTGAGATCATGACACAAGCTGAAATCACGAGTCAAATGCTTAACCGACTAAGCCACCCAGGTGCCCCAGGTAACTTCATTTTTTAAAAAACCTTGCCTCCTGCCACGGAACAATGTCACTTCAAAGTAAATTAAAGACCTCTGAGAGCGCCTGGGTGGCTCAGTCGTTAAGCGTCTGCCTTCGGCTCAGGTCATGATCCCAGGATCCTGGGATCGAGTCCCACATCGGGCTCCCTGCTCGG